GGAGATTGCCAGTCTCCACAGTGCCCAGGTGCTAAGTGAGACTAGAGGAACTGGAGCAGAAGCTCTGTAGGGCCCAACTCATCTTAAGCACAGAGTACTTCTACTGAGGTCCGTGGTGGTGCTGGGGTATGAAGCAGGCCCCTTTGACTGCTCTGCCTGTGTTTAGTGAGACCTGCTTTAGTTGTGGCATAAAAGACCCAGAAGCATTGTCATTCATGGCTCTCAGTCAAGCCTACAGAAGATTTGGGTGGTGGATTGGGAAGGGACGCCCTGGGCCTTGCTGTGATATTAATCTCACCTTCAACGTGTCAGAAAACCTGTGGTTTTAGTTCTGGGGCTTTATGCCACATTAAATCTCCATCCTCACCCCCCCTGGAGCTACCATCTCCTTCAGGAGACCTTATCTTACCTTATCTTGGCATCTGTGATGGCCTGCTCATGCTGGAAGGACTGTGAACGCTGAAGTCCCCTCTTCTAGAGGAAGAGCCTCTGGGTCAGAATTGCAGCGGGCACAGGATTGCACCACAGCTGCTCCCACGGACCCACTCATCCAACCCCAATGCTTAAGGGAGCCTTATGGAGTAGGACTGACATGGTCTGAGGAAACTATCGCCATACCCAGTTCTTATCTAGTGCCCCTCAGCTGCAGCTCTCAAAGTACTCCTCATAGCCCCATTTTACACTTGGGACAACTGCAGCAGAGAGCCAGGACTTGCTAAAAGTTACCCAGTGGCAGAGCTAGGACTGGAATCCGAGTGTCTGAAGTCCTGGGCTGGATGGAGTAGGGCTGCTCTGGGTAGGCAGCAGGGAGGAGCAAGAAAGGTCTTTGCTCACTGCTCTGGGAATCTTTCTCCCTTGCAACCTGCAGCGAATGCCATAACTCCTCTGATCGGATCAAGGTCCGGGTCTGGGATGAAGACGATGACATCAAGTCTCGTGTCAAGCAGCGCTTTAAGAGGGAGTCCGACGACTTCCTGGGACAGACGATCATAGAGGTCCGAACACTGAGTGGCGAGATGGATGTCTGGTACAACCTAGGTAAATGCCCTCCCCAGAGCCCCAGCCTCCCCTTGGGGATCTGCTTCTGCTGGGCTGCAGCAGCCGGTGATTTCCAGCAAATCCAGGGGGTGGGTTTGGAGACTGATATATATAGCAATTTCCAGGCAAATCACACCTTGAAGAGCCTTTCAGAGCATAGGTGCCGACTTGTATTTTTGCTGGGGGTGGGGCTAAGATGTCCCGCCTCCCCCAGTGGCACACCCAGAGCAGAGCCAAGGGGAGCCCGTGGGGGGCAGGGGCAGATGCAGGCTGCCTGCTGTGGGCTCAGGGCTCCCTGCCCTGCTGCCCTCCTCCTGGAAGCCCTGTGCCATCATGGTGAGGTACCCCCTGCCCAGCTGGCAGCAGCAGGGGGCACAACTCCATGTCACTGCCTCTGCTGCTGCCAGATGGGCAGGGGTACCTTGCCATGGCAGTGCAGCAAGTGCGGCGCTCCCAGGGGGAGAGCGGCAGGGCAGGGAGCCCCAAGGCCACAGTGGACAGCCTGCATCCACCTCCACCCTGTGCACAAATCTGGGGGTACCTGCCCCCCCACACCTCCGTGGCAGTGCATGCAGCAGCGGGGAGCCATCCCACCCCGCCTTGGACAAGTTGCCTGTGGCTCTGTCCCACTCCCTGCCCTGGTCCCAGGTCCCACGTACTGCCCTGACTGGGCAGCACCCCCAGGCCCAGCCCCTGCCTCACTCCCTCCCTCACCACAGGGGACTCAATCTGAACCCCCTCCATAGACTTACCTGCAGGCAGCTGGGGGAGTCGCTCTCCACCATTGCCTGAGGCTGTATTCCTGGCTACGTGCACATGTGCATGTGCACACATGTACATGGTGCCCCTGCGTCCCACTGCCCTGAGCCCCTTGCAGGCTGGACCTCGGCCAGCCTGCAAGGGGAAACCCACCATGTCCTGCATTTTTCTACGGTAAATGGAAAACCTGGATCGCTGCAATATTGGGAATCCGGGACAAATTCTATCCCGCAGTCATGCAGCCCAGGACCGAGACTGGAAGTTCCCATTTTGGGACTGTCCCATGCAATTAGGGATGGGTGATCACCCTACCCTCTTCCCAAGGTGGGGCCAGGACCCCCACATACTCTATGTTTCAGAGTTAAACACTGTAGGGCTGATTATTGCCACTTATTATTCACCATGTAGATGTGATTTATTACCTTATGTATTTATTAGCGCATCACTGTACTATCGGGTGGGTCAAAGATTCCTAATGGTTAGTTAATGATAATACTCAGCTCACCTGTGGTGCTTCTCACGTCATTTGATGTCCAAGCACTTTACAAAGGAGGTCAATGGCATGATCCCTGTGGCGGGTGCAGAGATCCCACCTCAGGAAGACAGCTGGGTATTTGTATTCCTCCGCTGTTTCCACCACGTGAGGCGGGCCAGTAGGGGGTGCTCCTGCGTTGAGCCACCCACCTCCCTGCGCCCGACCACCTTCCAGGCTCCAAATGCCTCCCTAGGGGCGCCTTATGTCCGGCCAACCCCTCTCCCGGAGCACACT